GTATGGGAAAAAACAATCTTTTTTTTGGGTATTTTTGTTCTTCAGTATATTACCATGTTAATTGGTAACTAGAAGTGCACTTCATATTGTATACTGTTACTGATATTAAAATACTTTGTAGCATAACACCTGTAAGCAAGCATTTAGTATTTGAATTGTACAAATGAATAAACAAGTTGTGTATTATTGTTTGCTCCTGACAGGTGAGCGCTCTTAAAAGAAAGATTGTTTTTTCCCATACATTCCTCCTATGCCAAACATGTACCCCAATGCATGACTAGAGCTCTTCAAAGTGGATCTTAGCCAGCCAGTGTATTCATTTAGTTGTTTTTTTTTTTTAAAGTCTAAAGAATGGTAGCAGATTTGAAAACTTTTTTTGCTGTGACATGAAGACATGTTGACATGTTATTATTTTCTTTAAGCATAGCCTGGCTGGCCTTGAACTCACAGAGATCTGCATGCCTCTGCCTCCTGAGTGCTGGGATTAAAGGTGTTAACCACCATGCCCAGCAACCATGTATTGTATGAGATGGTTATGCTACATAGTTCTTTCAAGGGCTGAGAAGCAGAAGGAAAGGTTTCTTAAGCAGTTTATAATTCTGCAGGTCAGTTTCCTTTACATTCCTGCCTCTTCAGGCTTTGGAAGTGTACCTGGAGCACTGCTGCCTGGACATTGCTCTGAGCTTCCTGGCATATTCCAACTGCCCAGGTGTAAGTTCGTTTTAGAATACATGGTCTTCACGGATGAACTTGGAATTTTTAAGCTTTTCCCAAAGCACATTTATAAGAAAGAAGCCCACATAACACTGAAGCTTCTAGGACAAAGCCAGATGAATGGGGAGAGAATTGTGCAAAGCCATTACAGTAACAGAAAATAAAAAAATGCATACACAATAATAATCCAGGAAAATTGCAGTGGATGGTCCACTACATGAGGTGTATGTATGTAAGTAGATTTGTACTTAACCTCTAAAATTCTCTTGTGCAGTTTCTCTTTTATGGATGTGATGGAAATGGATTGTTAAAATAGATTTAAGAGAAATGAAAATCTTGTGAGCCTGGCAATTAGAACTGAAAATTACAGGGTAACATAACCTGTCCATGGTGCTGGAATTTTCCCCACATTAGTAGGCTTAGTTTGTTTTCATATTTAAAGACAAATATATTAGTTCACGTGTAAGTTACACATTATTTGGCTTTCTTATTATGTAGTCGATTTCACCCATCTAGCTGTTCACTTAGCATCAGCTTTAAGTAATAGGATTTATGATAACTGTATTATATCTAGTTGAGCTTGATATTATTCGCCTGTAAATTAAAATGCCCACTTCTTTATTAAAGTGGCATTGATCACATTTAAAAGAAAATAAGCATTTCTGTTTCTTTCACATTAAATATTTTGGTTCATTGTTGATTTCAAGTGGCTTCTATTACTTGTACTAGTATGTCATGAACTATGCAAGGCTAAATCCAGTTGTTGGGATAGAACATTATGGGATAGGTAGAAACTAACTATTTAATCTCAGGAGCCATTTCATCTTGGTTAAAAATATGTTGGTGAGAAAGAATTGCCAGAACAGCTGTGGAACCAGTTTTCTATTAAACTTCAGCAGATGGCAGAAACCTGGATCTCCTTGATTTGGTTTTGTATTGTATTACTTAATAAAAACAAGATTTATAAAAACTGTAACCCAATACTGTTAGGAATTAAAAGAATATTCCTTCATGGTAACATCTCATGTCTAATTTAGAGGTTTCCAAATTATATGTGAAATAATTTTGGAAAACATTCATAAATCATATTATAGCAAATATCTTTAATTCTGAACAATTAAAAATCCTTGCTTTTTGTCATTAGATAACTGTGCTTTTGGTCTCATATGTGTTTACTCTGTGCAGGGGATGTTTAAGCTACCAGTTCACAAAGTTCTGTGAGAAAAAGCCTTTCCAAAATTTATAACCCCTGAGGATATTCAGTCTTTGAGATATAAAAGATGGCTTGCATTTTCATTGCTGATCAGTGTTGTGTTTTAGGGAGTTTATAACTTACTTAAAAAATACAAAGCAAGCTGGGCGTGGTGGGCCAGACTGATCTACATAGTGAGTTCCAGGCCAGCTCAGGTTACAGGGAGACCCTGTCTCAAAAAGACCAAACAAACAAAGCAAAGAGCTTAAAAAGTATTGCAAATTGCCATGTGGCTGTTGGTGCTAAATATGTTGTTTAATAACAAATATTTTTCAGGTATACTTTGAGAACCATAGCCACCCTTGTGGCAGCCATGAGAATGCATCTCCGGTATCTCCAGCAGGAAGAAGCATAGCTGTCTGGAGGCCCAGCTGCCTCGCTCTGAAATGTCCATATTCAGGGAGGCTGCACTTCTTTCAGCAGCTACAGGTGTGTGATTGACCAGGCTAGAGATCCCTGACTCCTGGAGCAGGAGGACTCCCTGGAGATGGTGCCAAATTTGCTAAGGACTACAATGTAGTCCAAGTAGTATTCACACATTCCTTCCTCTTGTTATGCACCTGGGACTATGCCTGCATTGTGGTCTGGTCACCTCCCCACTCCCCACTTGTTTTTCTTCATCAGCATTATCTCTAATAAATCTGTTGCACAGTGGCTGCCTCTTGGTGTCAGTGTCTGCTTTAAGTAGAACCTTGAATAAATAGGTACTAGGTTGGGGATTAAGGAGACTGGCTCATCTCTCACCCAAAAAGTAAGTAGGATGACATCTAAGCTGGAATGATGATAGTGCTGGGACAGGGTCATGGCTTGGTTGATAAATATTTCACAGTCTACAGAAAAATGTTAACAGCAGACAGCAATGAATGAGTTGTTCTTAGAGAGGGCTGCTCATTAATATACAGCAGCTTGGGTTTTAGGAGTATTCCACCAATCCTTAACTGATAGAGAAGCTTACTATGCCTGGAATGTCTGTATAAACACAAAGATGCATGTTTAACACTTACTTTCCTTCTGGGCATTGGAATTTTCATACATGCTAGGCAGTGAGTGCCTACTAACTGACACTATCAAATATGGCCTAAGGAACTTTCTTTGAGAGGCCAACACCTACTCTCTTCCTGTCTTCTGAGCACCTCTCATTTTCTTTACCTTCATGCTTAAGCTTATATTAAAATACCTTTCAATCAACCTCAACCCTGTTTCATAAAAATTAATACATAAAACATGGTTGTAGTTACTTTTCTGTTGCTGTGATAAAACACTGACCAAAAGCAACATGGAGTAAGAAAGGTTTATTTCATTTTACACTTCCACGTCACCATCTATGGTTGAGGGAACTCAGAGCAGGAACTGAAGCAGAAACCATGGAGGAATGCTGCTAATTGGCTCGCCTGCTCTCTGGCTCATGCTCTGCTAGCTTTGTTATATAGCCCAGACCTACCTGCCTAGGGATGATGTTCCCCACATCAATCATCAAGACAATCTCTTGGCATGGCCACAGCCCAATCTGTTCTGGGAAATTTCTCAGTTGAGGTTTGCTCTTCCCAGATGACTAGGTTGTATCTTCCCTGCCATAAATTATAGTTATGAGCATGAACCTGTGCTCAGTCTTATGGCCCATTTAGCAGCTCAGTCAGCTTGCGGCTGGTCTTGAAAACTCCAGGTAGTAACTTGAAAAGATATTCCCCAAGAAGAGTTCTCTAGGGAATTCCATGTTTGGGTGTTTGGAACAGTGTCTGCAAGCAGAGTTGGCTAGTTACCGCTGGGTTGTGCTGGTGACCTGGGGAAGCCTGTAGTCAGGCTGCCAATACCTAAACATGAAAGCTTCAAGGTCTTGGTGTGTGCAGGGGTGTATGAATGTGTGAATGCCAAGAAAGACTTAACCTGCAGTAGCAGGACTGAAAGAGTTGGACTTGGGGAAGCATTAAAGCTGCAGAATTGCAGACTTGAATGATCCACCATGGGGCATGCCCCGTTTTGAAAGTTTAGGGCCCTGGTCAGGAAACCTAGACCCTTAAAATGCCATGGAGACATTTGGATGAATAAATATCTCAGAGGATGCTGACTGGTGTTCCTCCAAGATTCTTTGGTCTTACAAAGGTAGGCCCCCTTTAAAAACCTAGTATTTTGTCTATGCAACAAATACTAGAGATTGCTACCGCTACTGCTACCTGAGGCATACAAAGTTTAAGGCCTAGCAAAGCCTTTGGAGATATGCTGGGTGAAGACCACACATCAAGAAATGTTATAATTAAGCTGGATGTGGCATACACTCCTGTAAGTCCATGACTTGGAAGGCAGGAGGATCACAAGCTCTAAGGCCAGCCTGGGCTACATGGTGAGTTCCATGACAGCCCAATCTATATGATATGAGATCCTGCTTCCACCACTACTACCTAATGGTCCCATTAGCATATTCTAGCAAGAGCCAGTAGAGTATGCTGAGGATTGGCTGTTGAGAGGGCTTCAGAAAGGACTGCTTACCAGAAGAAAGAATTCTTGTTGGGGGGCTGGGGAGATGATTCACTGGAAAACAACAAAACCAGCAAGATGATAGGAGGAACATACTTAAAGACACAATTCAGAGGGGAAAAGAGAAGATACACTGGGTATAATTTCCCCAAAGAGAAACTGATATGTTAATTTGAAGCAGACTAAGACAAAAAGCATTAAGGATAGAGGTTATTCACATAGTTACCACAAAGTTAAGTAGTTTTACCTTGTATGCACCTACTTAAAATAGCCTCAAAAACATTTGAGGAGGGGCCAGTAAGATGGCTTAGTGGGTAAAAG